TGCAGGCGGTCCCGGGCAGGTGCAAAGCTGCCCGGGACCAGACAGGCTGTCGCCAGCGCCGTGCGCATGCGCGGGTGCTGGCGCGGGAAAAGTATCGCATTGACCCGGGAAATGTCTATATAAGAAGCTGGGAGGTTTTGGGAGCTGCTGAAGCCATCTACTTGTAAGCTGAACGCAGAATAAAGAAAACTGAGAACTACAACTGCTTCTCGTGTCTTACATTTCCGCGAAGGACTCAACACTGGCGACGAAGGTGGGATGCCTTACATCGCCTGGAAAGGAAGAAGTGTAAGCTTACCCAAGTGAGTCCTGAGCGGCGGAACGGTGTCGACTCGGCAGCTACTTGCCAACCCAGTGCGCATTCGGGGGTAGGCTGGCTGATAGACCCGTCTCCTGAAGATGGCAAAGGTTGGAAGGCTTTCGGAGTTCGACGTCTCACATCCAGAGCGGTGGGAGTCCTACGTAGCCAGGGTGGAGAACTACTTCAAGGCAAACCAAATGAGGGAAGAGAGCTTGAAGGCTGCCACCCTGCTTTGTGTTTGCAGTCAAGACGCTTTCAAAATCGCAGAAAACCTTGCAGCACCTGTTCCAATAGAGTCTGTCAGCTACGCAGATCTGAAGAAGCTACTGAAGGAGCACTTCCAGCCCAAGATGTCCGTCATCGCATGGCACCACACCTTCGAGCAGAGGGATCAACGATCCGGTGAGTCGGCCAAAGAATACATCGCCGCATTAAGGAAGGCCGCCAAGCACTGCGAGTTCAAGGACCTCGAAGAACGACTGAGGGACCGATTCGTGTGCGGGTTAAGGCATCGAGATCTACAACAGAGACTTTTCACTAAAGAAGAATTGTCCTTCCAAGATGCCTTAAGAGAAGTCACCGCTGAAGAAGCAGCAGGCGGCGCCGTCAAGAACATGCGGCCGATCAGAAACAGTCCAGAGGTTGCATCTGTGCACCAGGAAGACGTCCAGGGGAACTCCGAGGAGGATCCGGACGAGGAAGTCGACCGTCTCCACCCCACGAAGGAAGGAAATCAGAAGGGAAGCTCTTCAGCTCCACTCAAGTGCATCGGCTGTGGAGGTCGCCACAGGAGAACCGACTGCAAGTTCCGCTCCGCTACCTGCCGGGCATGCGGCAAACAAGGACACATTGCAGCTGTGTGTCTGGGCCGACAAAGGTACAACCTCAGGAAGAACTGCGCCTGAAAGGTACCAGGGTCCCAGCCAGAATAGGGTAGGGTTTTGCGCTTCGCGAAGAAGCATCCTTAGGACAGGCACACACAAGCCCATTAAGAAAAAGCTGTCACTTAAGGTGAAGCTACAAGGGGTTCCATTAACTATGGAACTAGACACAGGGTCTGCCCTTTCAATCATCTCCTTGCATACATTTAGGAAGATTTGTTCCGGTAGTGGAACTCAGGTCAAGCTTAAGGCCTTCTGACATTGTGTTAATAGATTTTCAAAATTTAAGAGTGTGTGTTAAGGGGGAGGCCACCCTTAACGTGCAATACAAGAGTTTTGAAGGTCCACTAGACTTATTAGTAGTAGGGGGTGAACGAACGAGTCTCATAGGACTCGATTGGTTTGAGGCCCTGGGGATACACGTCACAGGACTCAACAGTTTACAAACACTCGACCTACAGGAAGTCTGCAAAGAATTTGCAGATGTTTTCAGCCCCCAGCTGGGCACATTCAAAGGACCCCCTGTGTCCTTAAAGCTAGACCCCACTGTCACTCCCATTAGAATTAAAGCAAGAAGGGTCCCTTTTGCTTTAAAGAGTAAAATTGACACTGAGTTGGACAAACTGATCCAACAGGGAATTCTAGAACCTGTTGATTCCAGTCCTTGGGAGACCCCCATTGTCACGCCTAAAGGCAAATGGGGACATTCGCATTTGTGCTGATTACAAATGCACTCTTAATAAGGCATTGCAGCAACATGCCTATCCTGTTCCTGTGGTCAGTCACATCCTGGCCTACCTCAAGGGGGGGCGTGTTTTTGCAAAGCTTGACCTAGCTCCAGCATATCAATAGCTGCCTGTTGATTATGAGGCTGCTACAGCTCAGACTATTGTGACCCACAGAGGGGCCTTCAAGGTAAAAAGGCTACAGTTTGGAGTGAATGTCGATCCTGGGATTTTCCAAAGCGTAATGGAAAACATACTACGAGGTATACCAGGGGTTTGCCCCTACTTTGATGATGTCTTGATTGCAGGAGACTCCACACACATTCTAGCTGAAAGGCTCAGGGCTGTTCTGTTAAGATTCAGGAAATCAGGCCTCAAGCTCAAAAAAGACAAATGCAAGATTGGGGTGCCTTCTACTGAATTTCTGGGGTTCAAAATTGCTGCTGCTGGGATTCACCCTGCTGAATCCAAACTAACTGCTATTTTAGAAGCACCTAGGCCAAAGTCCAAGGCCGAACTTCAGGCCTTCCTAGGCCTCCTGAATTTCTACAATTCCTTCCTTCCACATAAAGCTAGTGTAGCTGAGCCTCTTCACAGGCTACTAGACAAGCAAGCAGTGTGGCAGTGGTCACAAACGCATGAGGGGTGTTTTAACAAAGTCAAGGCTTTGCTCACTTCTAACAGTGTACTTGCACATTTCAACGAGTCCCTTCCTGTGTGCATCGCTTGTGATGCGTCCCCTTACGGGGTAGGAGCTGTCCTGAGCCACCTCAGGTCTGATGGAACTCAGGTTCCTGTTGCATATTACTCCAGAACAGTGTCTTCTGCTGAGTGAAACTACGCTCAGATAGACAGGGAGGCTCTGGCTGTTGTTGCTGGAATTAAAAAATTCCATGATTTTCTATATGGCAGGCATTTCACGGTCTTCACTGAGCATAAGCCTCTGCTGGGACTGTTTACCACACGTAAGCAGACTCCCCAAATCATTTCCCCTAGAATGCTTAGGTGGTCTATTTTTCTGTCTGCATATGATTTTTCTTTACTCCACAAGCCTGGGAAAGAAATGGGCCATGCTGATGGCCTCAGTAGATTGCCTCTGCCAGTAGTAGAAGCTGACCCTGCGCCAGCTGTCAACATTCTATCAATCCAAGCCTTGCCCGAGCTCCCTCTTAGTGCCAGGGATGTTGCCGCTGAAACAGGTACAGATCACACACTTTCACGTGTCCGTTCCTGGGTTTTGTCTGGTTGGCCTGAGCACTGCCCTAGTCCTGAGTTTCAGAGCTTCTGGTCCAAAAGGAACGAGCTGTCCCTTTCTCAGGGTTGTCTGCTTTCGGGGCATACTCACTTTCCACACACATCACACAGCACTCCAGTCACGGAGGATACCCGGGAGCATCCCAACAAATCATTCCCCGCAAGAGAGCTGGCACACAATCCCCAGAGTTGGCCTGACCTTACCCCTAATCCTACAGGGGGTCAAACTTACAGGGAGGTGGTCGAGGAACCAAGTCCCGACCGCAACACCTCTAGCCCAAATCAGGGAGTAACTGAGTGTTGGGAAGGTACAGAGACCCACACGAGCCCGGACACAGAACGGGGCTTAGGGATTGGACAGCCTCCTGACAGGTCTTGGACGGACCTAGGAGGTTCTATAGAGACGCCCAGCAGTGGCTATCACTTCAAGGGGCCCGAGGGCCTACAGCTAGGCAGGTCAACCAGGTCACAAAGTGACAGAAGCCCTGGCCTGACAAGCCCGGTGGGCGAGCAAGCAGGCCAGGCATCGGGGCAAAGTCCTTGGAAGGCACCAAGGCATGATAAGGGGAACAGGCTCTTGTCACCCCTCAGTCAGGGAACACCTGTCAGAAACCCAGAGCTGAGAAGGTCACAGAGAGCAAGAAAGTCTCCTAAATACTTAGAGGATTACATAACATTGCTGGCTAAACAAAAGCCAGGTAACGATAGGAGCACTGAGAAGCAGAACACTGCATAAAATAATGATTATATGTTGGTAGTAGTTTTAGCCCGGGGGAAAGGGGTGTTATGTCCCAAGCCTTGCAAACGGCTCGGGGCGTTTGCAGGCGGTCCCGGGCAGGTGCAAAGCTGCCCGGGACCAGACAGGCTGTCGCCAGCGCCGTGCGCATGCGCAGGTGTGGCGCGGGAAAAGTATCGCATTGACCCGGGAAATGTCTATATAAGAAGCTGGGAGGTTTTGGGAGCTGCTGAAGCCATCTACTTGTAAGCTGAACGCAGAATAAAGAAAACTGAGAACTACAACTGCTTCTCGTGTCTTACATTTCCGCGAAGGACTCAACACTTACCTTATGAGAAAAGAAGAAAAAAAAACACTTTGCACATTGTGGTGAATTTTAAAAACAAGCAACAAGCCAAGTAAGCAGATGGGGTTATGTTTTCGGTATTAAAGTGTGGTGTGAAGTATCTGAAATCTGGTAAAAGAACCTTGCTTGTGTATTAAAATAAAAGATGCCAAAAGGATTTTGTGAAAAAGGTCATTTGACAACTCACCGTGGCCAACTTGCTGCAGCCAACTCACCATGGGACAACTCGCCATGGGACAAGAGTTACACTAATATTGAAGAAATAGTTGAATAAAATCATTAAAGAAAGGATGCCAAAGGAGGGACAAAATAAAAGATGAATGACAAAAGTTAAAATATATTTTTTATTATTTTTAAAAAATAAATTAAATTGTTGAATTGTCCCGCAGCAAGTTGTCCCGTGGCAAGTTGGTTGCAGTGCGTTGTCCCATTCCGGCTACTCTTTGCTGCTCTGATCTCCCTTGTTAATCATATTCCTGGCTTGATTGTACAGCATTCTATCTCCTTTTCTCTTTGGCAAGACGTAGCTGCTTTAGCTTAGCTGTGAGCCATGGCTTATTGTTGTTATATATACACAAACTCTTGATAGACACACACATGTCCTCACAAAAGCTAACATATGATGTCATGGTATCAATAAATTCATCAGTAAGTCTTTTGAAGCAGCTTCAGAAACACTCCAATCTGGGAGAACGGCTATTCTGAAATGTTTTTTAAGCTGCAGGATAAGGATAATAATAAAACGGTACAAGTCAAATAATGTGTTTAATAATATAATATTTAATAATAAACAGTGCTCTAGATAGGTAGTTTCAGTCTTCTTCGTCTACCTCCCCCTCTTTCTCTTCTGAATTTCTGTAGATATAAAAGGATTAAAATATTATATTACAATGTGCTTATATAATTGCATCTTCTAATCAGACTGTTTGACTTTTGTCAAGCTTTATTATTATAATAGATCCTTATTCTCAGATGCTTCAATCTAAAGCAGGCATGTCAAACTCGTGATGTCACGTAATGTTGCGTGATATATCACGACTTTTTCCCCATTGTTGGCAATGGGGTGGGCGCAGTTTCAGTGTGACAACATCCGGCCCGCAGGCCAGCAGTTTGATATGCCTGATCTAAAGTAATAAATGTATCTTGAGGTGCCATTATTTTTCTGAGAAGAGCAAGAGTTTTGTATTTCAGAACTGTTGAATTTCCACCATGCTGAGTAGTTATCATGCAGAAAAGAGCAGAAGAGAGCAACTACATCAGGGGTGTCAAACTGCTGGCCTGCGGGCCGGATACATCATAGCGAAACAGCGCCCACCCCATTGCTGGCAATGGCAAAAAAGTCGCAAAACGTCACGACATGTCACATGACATTGAGAGTTTGACACCCCTGAACTACATATACAACACAGGATAAGAAGCAATTTCAACAACACTCTGTGTCAGAATCCAATTATATTTCATCTTTAATCATCAAATATAGAAAACCCCAATTCTGCCTTCTCTGGATTCTGCCATAAGAGGGAGAGAAGGGGGAGAACAAAGGGGCTTTATGGCCCTCACTTCCTTCAGTATACCTCTAAGGATTTGAATGTGTTTATTGCAACCTCAAAGAGTTTGAATGTAAATAGCATCAAAGAACCTTACCATGACAAAGGAGCTACTTACCTTTCATGTAGTTTATCTGAAGTCTCCATCCAGACGGAAGAGAGGATCAAAGGGGTGAAATTGTGATGCCTGAAACTATCACTGGAAGGGGGGTGATTGGGCGGGACTGCTGGGGAATCCCTAAAAACCTTGAATGGGAGAGCTTGGACCCCAAGTCCTGTCTAGCACGCCTGCAACCACTTCTTCTTAATAAAGGATTCCTGTTGGAAGAATTATTCCAAGAGTTCTGTCTTCTTAAGATGCAAAGTGGGGTGGGTCCTTACACTCTGGTAGCCAGCCGCTCTAAGAGAAGAGGGCTTGGAAACCAACCATTGAATCTTCTCACAACAGCTGCTTTCTATCTATGGTAGGGATAAGGAAGGAGAGAAGTGAAGCCCTAAGAAGAGCAGTAAAACAAGCTTCCAGAGGCCTCATTTGCATTCCAACAAGAACTATAGTGCTCTGGCTTCTGAACTTTTTTGACATGCTTGAATGTAATTAATTGTTTATAGCATTAATAAATGTTGAAAGCTGCCTGGAATTACCTACATGGGTGGTTATATAAATTTGTTTAATAAATAAATGTAATGCATGACTATTTTTATGTCCCAGAAAACAAGTAGCTGTGCTAAATAAAAGTTATTGCAATAGGTAGGAGAAATAAAATGAGTGCAACTAAAAAAACAAAATATTGTTTATTCCTAATAAACCAGTGTTTGGAAGGATTCTTACCATGGCATGCAAATGTAAATTTACTTAGGAATAAAACACACTATAATCTCTGGATCTTATCTGGGAATTGATTATATAGATCAGGATGCATACTGTATTCTTGTATCAAAACCCCAGAACTGTAATAAGCAGAACACAATACTATTTTGCCTACTAAGATATTATAAGGAGTCTTTTGAGTTTCTGTTTGTTTGCTTGTTTTTCACTTCCTATCCTTTCTCAGCAGTCCTGGAATCTTTTCCACTAGTTTGCCAGCTCAGTTTTATTGCTCACCTTGCAGTACTTTTTGTCCTGAGTAGTACAGGTAATTCTGTTGCCAAATACTAGTTTCTTTGCTAGAAAACAGCCATTGACTTTTAAATCTGCATTTCCAGCTACTATTAAGCCAAGCTAATATGAAAACATCATTATATATTTTAGCATACATTAGAAAATATGATCCCCCAAACTGGATATATTAAGAAAATCTGGAATGTCAGTTGTACATATGCAAATTCTTATGTTCCCTTCCTGAATTGCAATGTTGCTAACTAGATTTTTCAGAAAGGACTTATGTTTTCTCTGAGGAGATGTAGATCTGACAAACATAGGATAACAACCTAAAATCACTGAAGCTCGAAACTAATTTTTCAAATCCACTAAACACATCTTTCTTAGTACTTTGTGCAGTCCTTCAATAATGAAGCCACATAAAAGAAAATCTAGAGCAGTGGTTCTCAACCTGTGGGTCGGGACCCCATTTGGGGTCGAATGACCATTTCACGGGGGTCGCCAAACCACGCTGTCCGCCATTTTTTTTCCTTTTCCCTAGCTGTCCTACTCCCTCTTATTGGTGGCCACACCCACTTGGGGGTCACCACAACATGGGGAACTGTATTATGCGGTCACGGCATTAGAAAGGTTGAGAACCACTGATCTAGAGAAAAAAAATCTCTATTATTTCTTTATATTTTTATCCATTTGAATTAGAGAGGAATATAGTAATTGTGTTTTAGAAATTTAAAACAGAGGAAAAGATTTATTAGTTTTAATGATTTATTTACAATTCATTTGTTTTTGGTTTGTAGCCATGGAGATTTTACAAGTAAATATAATACACAACTTTGCAAAATCTGTTTGATTAAAGGAGAGATGAATGCAAGAAAAACACTGTAATTTCTACATTCCATAATTTACAGAAGCTTCCTGGTCATGTCTGAGACACTGCTTGAACAGGAGTAGCAGCCTGATTGTGGAAATCCAGCCATGGCCTCTTTCTTACAGTGCTTTAGACTATAAAGCAGTAAAGATTTCAGGAGAAATCCGCTGCTTGGTCAGATATTTCTATGAACTTTTTGCAGTAAGGCTATTTGCTACATTATTTAATAAATCTTCAATACACAGGTCTCTGCCATTTATAAGTTAAAAATGTTCTGCTAGCCTTAGCATTCCTAAACTTTACAAGCAGTGTAATGCTTAATATACATTATTTAATTGGGGTTTAGTTATGATCTATGAAATAAATATATACCTTAATGTTATACGGGAGTGAGATTTTATCAATTTATCTGGTCGAAACAACTCTGGTTTACGTGAATTGTGTGTATCACTATTATTCCTATGGGATCTTTTTTTAAAAAAAAACACTCTTGCTTCATGCATGCTATCTCCCAAATTAATGGGCATATTTAATACATCACAACTAGTTGTAGCAAAACTCTTCTTTTGAAAAGATCCCATAGGAATAATAGAAAAATACACAAAATATTCAAAATTGTAAGACATACTTTATACATTTGACTCAATACACATCACACTTTAATTACAAATTAATCACATTTTCTCTTCAAGCTTTATGAATTCAGCCATTGTGATTTATTCCATAAATAATTTTCTGATCATGGGAATTATGTCATAAAAATGTCTACCAAAAATGGTTCAAACACTGCTTTTTTCTAAATACCATAGTATATATTGGGGTATGTCAAGCTGTCAGTCATCTCTAGAAATCACAGATGTAGGACAGGCTGGGCTCAAGACTGTTGGCTGTGACAACTGCCTTCTTCTCCCTCTACAGAGAGAAGCCAGAGTGGTTCTGAATGACTTGTGTGCGGGCAAAAAATCAGGGTGCCTCCTGTTCCTTCAGACAACTGATTGGCTTATAGGCTCCAGAAGAAATGGTGAGAGGCAGCGGAAACTGGCAAATTCAGGAGGAATGGCTGGGAAGCTGCCATCTTTATCCACACTATTGTCAACATGGAGAAATTATCCTGCCTGGCTTAGATGACTTTAAAACACAATTTAGAGGGAGCACAAAAATGGCTATAGGCATCACTTACCAAGTAAAAGCCAAGGTATGTCAAACACTGCAACCCACTCCTAAAGTGTATTTACTCAGAAGTAAGTCTCACTGAGTTTAATATACTCCCCAAATAAAATGATTATATCTATCTATCTATCTATCTATCTATCTATCTATCTATCTATCTATCTATCTATCTATCTTTGGTTATTCGGGTTTTCTCCCACGTAAAATTGGAAGTGTCTCGGCGACGTTTCGACGAAGTCCCATTCGTCATCTTCAGGCGAAGTCCCATTCGTCATCTTCGAAGCACGAAGCTGAAAACACCAGCCTGAAGATGACAAATGGGACTTCGCCGAAACGTTGCCAAGATACTTCCAATTTTATGCAGCAGAAAACCTGAATAAAAACAAATGTATGTATGTATATGTGTATGTATATATATATATATATATATATATATATATATATATATATATATATATATATATATATATATAATAAAATGAGCACCAGGGTAGTTAAAACTATAAAAAGTTTAATTAAAAAACGCCAAGCTTTCGCCGTCACCTGCCGGCATCATCAGGGCTTAAAACGCTAGGAAGTGAGGAAGTCTCTTTATAAGCAAGCAAAAGTCTGCGCCCGGCTCTTTGATCTTGTAACCGGACCTAATTGGTGGATTGCGCTCCGGTGTTCCATTTCTTCCTGCACCACTTATCTGTATGTATGTTATCACTTGTCTTCTTTTCATTGAGCTCTAGGATAGGTGGGACACCCTCCCTATCTCCCTGGTTGTTCTCACCCCCTATTTCTCTTTCTCGTTCGGGCTTGTTTTATGATTTGCATTCTCTCCTTTTCTTCCCCCCCCCCAATCCACATCCATGCAGCTGTCATCTCTACGGGTGTTCTTTCTTTCTCCAATGCCTCCCACTCGTACATTGTTGTTACTAGGGCAGTCCTGTATATTATTCTGAACTATCTGAGTCATAGTGGTGAATTGGGGTGGTTCGGCAAGCAGTTTGTCCACATGATAAGCTTCACAAGTGCACCCCTGCCCAGTCATCACGTCTCTCCCCCCCTTTTTCTGCCATCCTCTGTGTCTCTCCCCCACACACTACCATCCATACAGGGGGAGGGGGGACTTTGGTCTCCTTGGATGCCATTATACTCATCCTCCACCCCCCTCCTCCCTCCGACGTTTCTCATTTGTGCGCAAGCGTACTGGGGATTGTTTAGGTCTATTAGCGTTGCTGGTGCAAGATGTGGCAGGCTGATCGTCAGGCCATTGCAAATACCGCCCCCCCATGCATCCTCCCACTGGGGTTCGCTCTTCTCTTTTCTCTTCAGGCTACCCATCTGCACATCGTCACTCTTAACGTCATCCTGCGCTCCACTTGCTCCTAATTGAGCCGGCGTCACTGTCAATCCTAATTGTCTCTTCGCTTCTCCGTCTGTGGTGTTTTCCTGTGTTCTAATTGGGGTGTCTCCAGTGTTCATGATGTGGGAATTCCGGGCTTCAATTTTTGCTGCCTCCCTGATCTTTTGGAGGCGCGTCCGTGCTACAGGGGTGGTGGGGGCTTTTGAATGTTGCTCCTTCTCCTCTGAAGTATCCATAATCTGTTGGGGGATTGGCATATCCTCCTTACGTTCTCTTGCTGGTATGCTAAATATGTCATCAAGTTGCCGGCAATGGGGTGGGTGGTTGGTCACATTCCATGATCTTAACGCCAGGTGCGCTGAGCAGAGGTCAATATGTCAGTTAATAGAGTCCCTATTGGAGAGTCATGCTTCTTTGAGCAGACGGCCTCCCTTCGTATTGTCACTGGCTAAGATGCATACCTCATTGAAATTGAAACATCGCAGACGGAGAAGTGAAGAGACAATTAGGATTGACATCCCACTTGCAGCCCAGGAGAGGGAAAGGGATCGACCCGAAGAGGATGAGATGGCTCCCCCACCCAGGAGAGAATGCAAATCATCAAACAAGCCGGAGCGAGAAAGAGAAATAGGGGGTGAGAATAACCAGGGAGATAGGGAGGGTGTCCCACCTATCCTAGAACTCAATGAAAAGAAGACAAGTGATAACATACATACAGATAAGTGGTGCATGAAGAAACGGATCACCGGAGCACAATCCACCCAATTAGGTCTGGTAACAAGATTGAAGAGCCGGGCGCAGACTTTAGCTTGCTTATAAAGAGACTTCCTCACTTCCTAGCATTTTAAGCCCTAATGATGCCGGCAGGTGACAGCGAAAGCTTGGCGTTTTTTTAATTAAACTTTTTATAGTTTTAACTACCCTGGTGCTCATTTTATTTTAAACATGAATATACCCAGGGTTCATATTTTTAATGCTATTACATATATATATATATATATATATATATATATATATAGTAATTTTATTAAAGGTTCAACAATAAAAACTAATACAAACAAAAGAAAAAGAAAAAATAGAAGATGCAGAAAAGAAAAAATAGAAAAGAAAAAATAAGAAAAAGTTTTTTAAAAAATGTAAAGAAGTGACTTTCCCCTTCATCATAACAATTATAAACAATTTTAGCAACTTTTATTACTATTGCTTAAAACTAGAACACAAATGACAAATTTTGTGGAATTGCTTTCAGTCCAACATTTGTTCCCCAGAAGTGCAAAGGTGGAAAACTCACCACATCCAACTTGCCATGGGATAACTCACTACAGGACAATTAAATGCTATATTAATCATTTCATTCAATTACTTTTATTATTGGTGACCATGTTTTTGTCAAAATTATTGTAACTCTTGTATTTCTGGATTGGCTTTCATTATTTTATTATTATTGAAATTAATTTAACTTTTGTATCTGTTGAATTGTCCTACAGTGAGTTGGCTTGTGGCGAGTTGATCACGGTGAGTTTTTTTTAATTAAAAGCTTTATAAATTTATTACAATATAAAGCCCCCACCCCTTCCCCCCCTCCCGCACTTCCCAGAGCTGATTACAGGGTAAAACAAAATAATAAACAAATATAATCCAACTAACATAAATCAACTATACTATCAATCAAAACCATAAGACACTTTAACTCCTTCTCAATACAAATATTAACAAATTAAGTCAAAAATAATAATATAATTAAAACTATTAATAATTATCTAAAATCTACTCAAAACCAAGATAATACTTTTCAACTTCATATTTCTTCTGAATATAATCAATCCATCTTCTCCAAACCATAATATATCTTTCTTGTGAATGGCCTTCAAATAGGCGGAGATCTTTGCCATATCTGCTAAATTAGACACTTTAAGTATCCATTCTTCCAAAGTAGGCAACAAATTTTTCTTTCAATATTGCCCCACCAATAATCTTGCAGCTGTTATAAGGTTCAACATCAAATTAGTTTCTTTAACATCAAAATCTACAATAATACTCAATAAAAATAATTGCGGAGTAAACTTAATCTTTTTCTTAAAAATCTTTTGAATATTCCATCAAATCTTAATCCAAAAAGCTTTAATATCTTTACAAGTCCACCAAATGTGAAAATAGATTGCATCTAGGTTTCCACATCTCCAACATTTAGGCTGTAAATTCGGATACATGCGGGACAACTTTTGGGGATCCAAATGCCATCTATAAAACATTTTATAAAAATTTTCTCTCAAATTTTGCGCTTGAGTAAATTTTACATTTCTAACCCAAATTGTCTCCCATGTATCCAATAAAATCGGCTCTTGAATATTTTGCGCCCATTTGATCATACAATCTTTAACCAACTCTGTTTCAGAATCCAATTCTATTAAAACATTATAAATTCTTTTTATATGAGCTTGACTTTGATCTTTAATCTGTTTTTATTTATTTATTTAAACAAATTTATGTAACTCACTGATAAGTGATTCCAGAGCTTGCAAAAATTTTAAAAATCCACCATATAGTAAAACCCATTTTTAAAAAAACACATTCCACCCCACATACCAAACCCTCAACTAATGTTGATAGTAGCTGCAACACTGGAAGTTTTTAAGAAGAGACTGGACAGCCATTTGTCTGAAATGGTATAGGGTTTCCTGCCTGAGCAGGGCGTTGGACTAGAACTAGATGACCTCCAAGGTCTGTTCCAACATTGTTGTTGTTGTTGTTGTTGTTGTTGTTATGGATCATCGCACAGTCAGCCAAATGTTCAGACTGGATTTGGCATTTTCTCTATTATTATTATTATTATTATTATTATTATTATTATTATTCCCTGCATCCCACCACCCGTATATTCTGATGCTGCTCTGATAGCCTGTTTATGTTTTCCTTTCTATGGCTACCACAAGTGATGGCAAGGAATGAAATTTTAGTGTTCAGTGACAGTGTCTGGCAAGAGTACATCATTGTTTTTATCATTCATGCAGGGTATTTGGCTGGTTAGAGGTGCATTGAACCAAAGTATCCTTTAGATTGATCTACTTAGGTTAGTCCACAGGTCGGCAACCTGCGGCTCCGGAGCCGCATGCGGCTCTTTGAGCCTTCCCCTGTGGCTCCCAGCCTCCTCTGCCTTTGCAGAGAGAGACAGAGATAGAGAGAGGCAATTGCACTTCCCTGCTTCTCTCTCTCTCTCTCTCTCTGTGTGTGTGTGTGTTTTGTGTGTATGTGTGTGTGTGTTTGTGTGTATGTGTAAAAGAGAGTGTACTCACAGTGTTCTCCGAGGAGCTGAAAAGCTTTCTGGGCGGAGCTCCTCCCTTTGCTGCGTCTCTGAAGGAAGCAGGAAGCAGGGCAGGAGAGAGCTAGCTAGCCCAGCTAGGCTGACTCAGGAATTCTGGGAGTTGAAGTCCATGAGTCATAAAAGAGACGAGGTTGCCTACCCCGGAGGTTGTTGGACAACAGCTTGAAGCTTGCCAGGTGATCAGCAGATAGGAGGGGGGGGGAGAAAGAGAGAGAGAGAAAGAGAGAGGGGGGGAGAGAGAGAGAGTGGGGGAAGAGGAGTGGCAGACCAAGGGCAGATAGAGAGGGAGGGAGAGAGAGACCCTTTTGACGTCTAAAATGAAGATAACACTGCATATATCCTTTTTTTATCTTTGTGTGTATGTAATTTTATTCTCTTAAAGCATTCTCTTGGTGATCATTGTTTTAATACTATGGGTATTCCCAAGAGTCATATTTTTACTTTTATTTTTAATTTGTATATGTGTGTGTGTGTGTGTGTGTGTGTGTGTATACACACACACATACACACACACACACACACACACACATACCTATAATAAAGGTAAAAAAGGATATATGCAGTGTTATCTTCATTTTAGATATCAAAAGGGTTTTGCGGCTCCCAGTGTTTTGTTTTTGGTGGGAAACGGGTCCAAGTGGCTCTTTGAGTGTTTTGGGTTGCCTACCACTGGGTTAGTCACACTAATTTGTATTATTATTCTTAATACTAGGTAATTCAGGCTTGCCTAAGCCACATCTGTGATACTTATGGAAATGTGGAGGCATGCTTTTTAGATCTAATAAGATAATTGAATAGCCCCCAGATCACTAGTGGTTGCTTCTGCATTTACATACCTTTTTGGGGGTGCATTTTTCTTTTTTCTACACAGGAATGTCCTTAAAGAAACAATTAAAGAGAAAAATAGCAAAGTCTTAGCCTGGATAAAACTCTTTTGACAATATTCAAACCAAATATGACATGCATTTCTGTATCAGAGGAATATACAAACTGTTATCATTTAAACGAAAGATGTATTTATTTCTGTTTCTCAAAATGGGCTCAAAAGGCCTTTTCACTCACAAGACTCTTCTGTGCATGCAGCAGAAGCCTTAATTGTCTCTTATGCTGAAATATACACCGGCAATTATCTCCAAAGCTTCAAGAATGCAAACATATCTGTATGGTATTTTCCTTACATTTTACTACGTTAGCATGCCTGCCTTCCTGGCAATCTCAAGTTTTGTGTTCGTTTAGCACTAAAAATAGTTTAAAATTACCAAGAGGAATGGAGAACAAAGGATATGGGACCAGCTGAAGAATGCAACAGGAAGCCAATGCTATACATACAGATTTAGCCAGCAAACTTTTACATGCAGCAACCTATGGATTCAAATTTGCTTTATGGAAGTGAAATGAATAGGTTCTTTTGCACCTAATCTTTAGACTGGTCCTCATAAACATAATTTTCAGAGTAGAGAGTTGCAAATAATTAAGTATCCCCAAGCAAGAGTTACCGCTTTTCCTGAGGGATTCCTTCTGTTCCTTTTGAAGAGCAATGAGAAACCAATCTGTTTAATCCAAAAAGAGAGGTGTGGTTGTGAGAGATAAATATAAAATTTTTTTTCACAATGAGGAAAAAGAATAATGTCTTTTAATCTGTTTCTCAACCAGAAACTCTTCTTTTTCTCCATCTTCTGAGGTAAAAAGGTCTACAGCCTCCAACATGGTTTTGATAAGCCTCATAAGAAGATCTTATGGACCAAATCAAGTCCAACAGCCAGATCTTCCCTATCAGAATTAATGATGGAATGAATCCAAACTCAATAAATCCATTTAGTTTCCCTATTTGTCCCCCTTACCAATAAGTTTACTTATATTGTAAAAATATACTGAATGGATTTATACTGAAAATGTGCTGAATAAAATAAACTGAAAAATCAGTCCCACCTTTTTTTGTGATGTTGCTATATCATTGCCACATCTGCTGTGGCTGTTTGTGGTTGAATATATCCTATGAAATCCTGACTGCAGTAATGTGGTCTCCCTGAGTTACGGTCTTCAAGGAGATGCTAGCTCTTCATTAAAGCAGTATATTGAGAGTTTGGGGAAGTTTATCTTTTTGTTACTGGACCCTGAGATATAATGGATACATAAATTAATATAAAGATTTCTAGAAAAATAGTTTATCTTAACTCAAATAAATTACTGCAATAATAATTACTAGCACCGGTATCGCCAAAATAGCACAGCACATGTTGCTGTGCCCATATTGTGGAATTCCCTGCTTTGGTATCTGCAAGGTTAAACAAAGAGAAGAAAATGGAAGATGGGCCTTCATGTATTGCAACATTTTCTTCATCTTGACTAATGATTAGAGGGCAATTTTTACTCATCAGTATGTATCAGACTGCTCTATAACAGCTTAGTTTTCAGATAATGTAAGCTATAATTTGCTTAATTTGAATGTCTTAACCCATATCATCACACCTCTAAAATTTTAGCAACAACTCTAATCTAAACCCATAGCTTGAAGCTAGTTTACTAATCCATAACATGTTTTTATCATGTTTTATTATCTTGAACTTAGAATCCAAGTTTATTATTGGTTTATACTTTGTCATACCTGAGGCCCTTACCAATCCTGTTTAATTCAAAGCATGACAAAGGCAAGGTTCAGAATTGTTGTTCCTGTTCATGCAGTCTTGTAACTTTCCCTGACAACTTTTTTGCCATCCATCTTGTCTGCTGAATACCAGAGATGGAAGAATCTGAAGTTTATGTGCCAAATCATCTATAACCCCACAAAATCTGACAAATACCCATTGGATTAAAAAAAAAGTAGTTATACCAGAAAAAAACCTCATAGGCACAGTCTTATAAATGCATGTTCTTAATAAACTCACTTTGGAATTGTTAAATTACAGTAAACAAAAACTGTATGTTTTATAAAAAAATAAGTTTACAAATTATGACAAACTGTAGTCCGATAAATATAGATGGGAAAACCCAAAGATGCTTTTTCATGAGGCAACTGAACTTTCTTGGGGTTTTTTGTTTTTTTGTTTTGGGGGCTTTTTTTTCAGTTGCCCCATGAATAAACATCTTTGGGACAATTATGACCTGGATGACTGAGAATCTCTTTAGACAAAGATGGGAAAAGTATTTTTGCTGCTAGGACATCGGGAAAGCCATGTATGTAAGAGGAAAATATTTTTTAAAACTAGCCAGGAATTAGGTAAACTGTGATGATTAGTTTCTTTATGTGCAATTACTGTGTATGGATTACTAGAAAAATCAAGATTAAAGCAAATCTTTATTTAGTATTACGTAACTACAAATAGTATGTAAAATATTATTATTCAAGTTTCATTTTCAATTATTGTTTAGGAAATTTTTGCAAAATTCATCATTAAAAATCTTTAGATATTTGTTACAATATCCATGTTGATTCTTTAAAATAGCATGTCAAAATTCAAAAGTAGAAATTAAGTTGATAACTCAGGCCAGAGACAATGATCCATCATCATCATCATCTTTTGCAGGAAATATTTGACTATTCCATTATTCTGTAAATCCGTTTTCTTTAAAGACCAGCTATCACCTTTACACAACTCTTGCAGGTTCTCTGATCCATATAAAATCTCCCTTCTCAAAAAAAAAAGTGTATTTGGGCCCACTTACCCTTACTCTTTAAAAGCAACAGTTCTGCCAATCTAGTTTTCTTAAAACGATATCATTATATCCGACAGACTGACAAATATTTCTACATGCCGCCACTAGGGGGCGCAAATCAAATTCAAAGCTCAGAATATAAACTTCAGTTTCCCTCCAAGACAGTTGGAGACACATTTAAATCCAAACACAATAACGGTCAATATTAATACATAACAATATTCTTTACATTTTTACCCAGCAACAAGGAGGATTTCACCATAGCAGATGCCTCCTGGATGCTTTTTCTCTTATTGTACAGTTTCATGACAAGACCTATTTTAGAGATGAGAAAACCACAAGAGTTCTGGGTAGTTAGTTCTCTGCAATCCACTTTGATTAAATGGATCAAGTGGGAAATTAGGTTCCTGATGCGCTCATTGAGGATCAACTGTGCCAAGAGTATTTGCACCTCAGTTTCAAAGACATCCCCCTGAAGCAAAGAGTTATCAGTGGTTGAGGAAAAATCAGACAATAGGAGAGCAGACGTGGTTTCTTCCTGATACTCCCAATGCGCTTCATTAGATAACATTTCCTCAGGCAACAGTTCATTCAAAGTCTCAGACAGATGACTAGGACTTCTGGAACTGCTTCCTCCAATTATCAAATGTCTGAGAAGATTTTCCCTTCTTGATTCCTGAGGATCAAGAAGCGCTTCAGGCTTCCTTGGTTTTTCAGCCAGAATATGTGACACATTTTTTCCAAGCCAAGGATCTCTCTCTACTATTTTTTGATGGCTCTTTAACCTTCCCAGAGGGCTTTTAGTCCTCAGGCTGCTCTCACCAGAAGCTTCTGAAATTCCTGTAGCCACTTTCATTTGGATATCATATTTTTTCGCTACATTGTCTGTCATTTTTTATTTGGGAGACACCTGTGGCTGCCTCTTAACCTTCACAGGTCCTTTTCGCCCTGGAGGTTTGCCCCATGTTTCAACCATTGTATCTGAAGGAGGTTTTATTTGCTCTCCAACAAGTTTTCCAACAGTTTCTGATAATCTTTGCCTGTTTGTTGGGAACCTAACAGCTAAGTCTTTTTTTCTTGGATATTTTCAAGCCCGTGATCTCTCTGTACCATATTCTGGTGGCTCTTCAACGCTTCCAGAGAGCTTTTAGTCCCCAGGCTGATGTCACTAGAAGCTTCTGTAATTGCTGTATGTAATGCCTTTTGGATGTCCAGCTCTTGAATCCCCTCTGCATTTTCAGTTGTTTTTGTTCTGGGTGCCACTTGTAGGACATTGGGTGATTTGTACGGTCTTTTCAGCAGATTTTCATGAGACCTCTTTTCATCCAAATACTCATGGGGATTTGTTTTATTTAATCTACTCATTGATTTTAAAATAGGTGACCTGTGAAATTCACCAAGCAGATTGTCATAACTGGGGGAACTGATATTCCTTCTGCAATTTATGTTTGAGATTGGGCATAGAAGTATGAATCCATCCAACCTTTTAAAACATACTAGATAGATCCCAACTAGGTTTCATCCTAGTACTACTGGAGCAGCTAAATAGGTGAACTCATTGATAGAGCAATATTTATGCTGTTAAGCAAATTATCAGCAAACTAATTGGGCGGAGCTACTGCCTTTCACAGAAGGGACATATAACAACTCAGTACATAGTAGTATTAGGTTGACCCCATTTAAAATAGCTACAGGAATAGAATTCATTCTAATGCCAGAACTTCCGAGAGAATCTCCCTCCTCAGTGTCGGTAGCTGAGTGGATGGAGATCCTAAAAGCCACTTAGGGGGTATATACAAAAAGCATTGAAGAAGGCCAGGGAATCATACAAGAAACAGGATGATTGGAAAAGAACTCTCCAGAAGAAGTTTAGCAATGGGGATAAGGTATCCACCAAATATCTTAAGCTGAGGCCGCCCTGTAAGAAACTAAACCCTAAGTATGTAGGGCCTTTTCTGATTGTTTGAAGTATAAACCCAGTTATGGTCTAGCTAAGATTGCCCAAAAAATTGAGATGGGTCCATCCGGTGTTCAGTTGTTGAAATCATTCCAAGACTCTAGCCTAAGGCTAATTGAACAGGAGCCTCTTCCCCCAGTTATGATGGGGGGTGAGGACCATTACAAGGTTAAGAGAATACTTGACTTATGATTCTTTAAAGAGAAACTAGTATTTAGTAGAGTGGAAAGGATATCCCTTAGCAGATGCAGAATGGGTGGCCACTAATAATATTAATACAGACCAGTTAATAAGAATATTCCATGATACCTTCAAATCCAAAACCATAATTGAGTGTTAATGATAAATGATGATAATTTGTGTTTGATGTTTCCCCAGGTCTGCCCTTCTTTTGGGGGGTCAACATGTCAAGATTAATTGTTATTGTGCCTCTTAGATACATCAACTTGCCAAAGATAAAAGGGAAAGGAAGTAGAATGGAATGCTAAGAAGCTGTTCATGGACCGTGAGAGCCTGCACCATGCCAAGGTCATTGCCGCAGGTGCTCGATGAAGAAGTAACCCGTTCCCATACAAAAAGAAATATTACTATTGGACAATGTGAATACCCAGATGGTAGGAGAATGGGAATCTAATGTTTAACTAAGCAAACTTTCATGCAAAAAACCTCAGAGTTGGTTTTGCTTCTTCAGTTCTGAAATGATGTACCCAATAAACATTTCCCTGCTGGGACTTAATTGCCTTGAGGATTCCTTTTGTTGGGTTCGTTAGTTGGACTGTTGACATATATGTAGTGGTCTACTATGTCTAGTTCTTCTTCAGACATATTTTTTCTTTCTTTGGTGAACTTATTAAACATAACCTGGCTCTTTTTCAGGTTTATTTGTAAACCAAATGGTTCTCCTGCTTTGTGCAGCAATTGCATGCGTCTTTGTAGTTCTTCTGGGTTTTGTGAGAAGATAAAAATATCATCTGCAAAACTTAAATAGGCACCATTGATTTTTATTCCATCTTTTGCCCATAGTTTGCGAAATACAGTACTTATTCAAGGCAGACTGAGAAAAGGATAGGTGATATTGTTCGTCTTATTGTACACCTCGTTCTATATGGGTTTCCACTTTAAGAACATTAAGGCAAATTGGTAGATTAATCTCAAAATCACTCTTCTCCTCTAACAGCTTATCACTCTTAATTTTTGTTTTCCATGATGTCTTTATTATTTTCATAGACTCTTTTCAACTATCTATATTCATTTAGCTCCTACCATTCTATGGTCACTTCCAATGTTCAAATGATTGATGATGATACAATTGCAGAATATGGTTTTATTGCTTGACATGATGTAGTCAATTTTGCTTGTGTACCCAGATGGATTCTCTCTATGTCCACTTTCTGCTAGTTTTTTTCTTCTAATATGATTTCAGCAAAGTCTGGTAGTCTGTCCCTCTGTTATCTCATTCATCACTTCCATATGGGCCAGTTGCTTTTTCTCCAGATATTATTCTTCCTATTCTAGCATTAAAATCACCCATTAGTATTTTGTATCGGCATTTTTCTTTGTCTTGAAGGTGGGCCACATCTCATAAAACTCTTCCTTGGCTGATGGGGCCCATAGCATGGCTCCTCTGTAGGCATGGGCAGGGCAGACCAATCCCTTTGTGATGGGCAGATTCTCAAGTATCCTGGACCCATGCCATAAAGGGTGTAAAAGGTGATTACCAACACTTAGAATTGCTCCCAGAAGCAAACCAGCAGGCAATACAGCTCACAGAACAATGGTATAATGCAGCCTTGAATTCCAGAGGGGAGGGGAGCAGTCTCCCACTTTTCAAGCTGCTTCTGATCAGTTCTAGACTTTGTCTCTATGTGAGAGACCAAGTGCTTCTTTTCCCCTGAGCATAGGGAGCTGCCAGAGGTGTAAGCGAAACAAAAACTGTGCTCATAGTGCAGAATACCAGTTTACGGAACATAAATATTCTGTAATGGAATTAAGGGAAGGGGAAGGAAGAAGAATCAACCTAAGATGGATAAAGGCATGAACTCTTGCTTGTGTAATGGAACAGTTGCAGATATAGCTTATATAATTGAACAGTTGCAGATATACATGGCTTTGAAGACAGTGAGAAAGAAGGAGGGGGAATTTCAGCCAGGCACCATCATTGGAAGCATCTTTGTGTATAAGAATTAAATATCCCTCATTAGGGATACTTAACTGCTGTGTGGTTTGGAAGTATTACTGTTTTGGATAGAAAGGCTGTGCAGAAAGCAGTGAAGACAGCAGCACAGATTATTGGATGTTCACTTCCTTCTATTCAGGACGAGGCATATGAGGGCTGCTTGACCAGGATACGCAGTACTGTTGTGGATGCTACACATCCTCTCCATGACCATTTTCTTTGTTTCTTTGTTTTGTGCTATCTGAAGCAGAACAACTAGATTCTGTAATAGATTTGTACCATATAGTATCAACTTTATTAACTCTCAAGACTCTTTCCCCCGCTTTGTATTCAAAATGGACTGTGATTAATTTATATGTATATGTTAATCATATATAGAATTAACCTATGTATATACATATATGTATATGGGTGTGCATGTATATGTATGGTTATATATTTATTTTCTTTTGAGATTAGGCATTGGAAATTTTTTTAATTTGTTCCAATGTGTTCACAGAAAAAAGTGATAATAAAGGTTATCCTATTCTATCCTATCCTACCCTACCCTACCCTACCTTACCTTACCTTACCCTACCTTACCTTACCTTATCTTATTATGGGATTTATACCAGAGGGAATGTCATGGCTGAACTTCATATGAAACCCAGTCAACATGGGAATGAAGAGTGTAAGGCAGGCTAGAGTGAAGTACTCAAAGTGGTATAAAAGTTATATTACTGTTATTAATCTATTACAAGATTCCTGTGCATAACGCAAAAGAGAGAAAACGAAAAAGAAGGTAAAAGACCAACTATATGGCACACCCTCCATACATCAAAAACATTTTGGAAACAGTAGAACACAGCTTCTGGGATCTGCAAGTGGGTATCTGAGACTGTCCAGAGGCTACCATATGAGGACATATCATGCATTGTAAAGATCACTTGGAGGTGGGAGATACTTCCAATGTAATCTATCAGATCTCCTACATGGATTGTCCCTGTGACTATGTAGGATAAATGGGGAGGAAGCTAACCACCAGACTGCAAGAACACAACCGAGTCATTGGATGAAGAGACATAAAGTCATTGGTAGCCTCACATTGCAATGAAGAAGGACACATTTTTAATTTCACAGCTACAAAAGTTCAAAAATAGCCAGGAATATGATTGAAGCCTGGGAAACAAGCCCCTTCTCGGTTAACTTGAATGCAGATATACCAGCAGCTTATCAAGGAGCTGAGGACTTGGCAGCACAAGGAAGCAACAGCCAATTGCCAGCCATCAACACATCCATCAATCAGTAGGAAAAGACCACATAAACACAATTCCCAGAATATCCCAAAGCATGTATTCCTTTAGTGTGCTGGACCAGTCAGTTAGCTTAAGAATTGCATGTTAGAACGTTTAGCATTTAAAGGGTTAAACGCTGTTTCCTTAAGAGATGGCTTATGGGTAATGTAGTTTTAGTGGTCAGTTAATCCTATAGTTTATCTAGTCAGTGAGAGGAGTTAAAAGTTATTGCAGGACTTCCTTTTACGTGCCTTTGGGCCTTTGTATTATCTTTCTGCATGAGTTCCAGCCACATGGCTGGAAACTCCATGCCAAAGC